GGTTTTATTTTGGACTAGCTGAATCCTCTGATCCTTTGTGTGCCGCTATGTTATTGTCTTTTTAATTGTTCGGAGGACGTTTCCTTTGGATTTCTGGATATTAAATAAAAGCCACTGAAGCCCTGGCTGTGCTTTGATCAGACCCGCCTGGATGACAGCAGGAAGCCACGCTGCTTGCAACATGAAGGGAGCTGCGGCTGGGGAAGTGCCCGCTCCGAGGCACCTCCGCGCGCTGTTATTTATTCCAATAAAGGGCCGCTCGGCCGCCCGTGCTCTTTTGGCTGCTATTTTTCTCTTCCGTGCACTTGGCACTTGCTGCCCGGCTGCCCAGTGCAGGGCCCACGTGACTCCACAGCCCTGCCTGCTTGGCCCTCTGGCCAGAACTGGGCCACTGCTGGCCCTGGGCACGGGCTGGATAAATCGGCCACTGCGGTGGAGGGGACAGGAAGTCACGAAGCCTCATGTGCTAACTAGTGAGTGACCACCCTTGACTCTGGGGCAGGGACCCAGGTAACCGGCAGTGGTGGCCTAAACTTGGTGGTCACCAGCCCCACCTCCAACCCTCCTGGGCAGAAGTCCTGGGACACCGCAGGAGCCTGGGACTGCTACAGCTGTGGCCAGCCCTGGGTGGGCAGCAGGACGGCCAGGTAGCAGTGCTGTTTAAGAAACAGGAAATGACAGACGGTGGCTGTGAGAAGCTGGTCTGAGACGCACACGGGGAGGAATCCAGGTTTGTCCCTGGGTGACCGCCGGTAGGTCAGCTCACCTGGGCCTTCCAGCGCAGGGCTCTGAGGGATAGTGTAGTCTCCCGCCCTCAAAACCAGCCGTCCCACCTGATCTCCCTCAGGGATGTGTAGCAGGGTCTGGGGACAGTGCTGGTCGTCACAGCTGCTGGCCTGCCATGGTGAGGCCAGCAAAGAGCCATCCTGCCCAGATGCCTGTGCTGCTGCGGCTTGGAGGCCCTGGGCCAGCCCATGTCCACTGCCTCTGTGGGGGGGTTCCCTGTTAATATGGAGGAGGACGGAACCGTGGCCCTTCCATGCTGGTTCTTTGAGGCCAGCAGTGGAGAGCGGCTCTCCAGAGAGCTTGCTGGCCCTGTTCAGTGGGCATTTTGCTCAGGGTCTGGTTCGTGCAGACCTTGCCCCTGGCCTGAGCCCTGCAGCCTGGGGCGCATCGGCAACTCAGGTGAGCCGCAGTGACGGAGGACACCACAGGGA